TTATCTCTGTCACAGCGTCAACTTTATCTCTGGCACAGCGTCAGCTTTATTTCTGTCACAGCGTCAGCTTTATCTCTGTCACAGCGGCAGCTTTATCTCTGTCACAGCGTCAGCTGTATCTCTGTCACAGCGTCAGCTTTATCTCTGACACAGCGTAAGCTTTATCTCTGTCACAGCGTAAGCTTTATCTCTGTCATAGCGTCAGCTTTATCTCTGGCACAACGTCAGCTTTATCTCTATCACAACGTCAGCTTTATCTCTGTCACAGCGTCAGCTTCATCTTTGTCACAGCGTCAGCTTTATCTCTGCCACAGCGTCAGCTTCAATTCTGTCACAGCGTCAGCTTTATCTCTGGCACAGCGTCAGCTTTATCTCTGTCACAGCGTCAGCTTCATCTTTGTCACAGCGTCAGCTTTATCTCTGTCATAGCGTAAGCTTTATTTCTGGCACAACGTCAGCTTTATATCTGTCACAGCGTCAGCTTTATCTCTGTCACAACGTCAGTTTTATCTCTGTCACAGCGTCAGCTTAATCTCTGGCACAACGTCAGCTTTATCTCTGTCACAGTGTTATTTTTATCTCTGTCACAGCGTCAGCTTTATCTCTGGCACAACGTAAGCTTTATTTCTGGCACAACGTCAGCTTTATCTCTGTCACAACGTCAGCTTTATCTCTGTCACAGTGTTATTTTTATCTCTGTCACAGCGTCAGCTTTATCTCTGTCACAGCGTCAGCTTTATCTCTGCCACAGCGTCAGCTTCAATTCTGTCACAGCGTCAGCTTTATCTCTGTCACAGCGTCAGCTTTATCTCTGTCACAACGTCAGTTTTATCTCTGTCACAGCGTCAACTTAATCTCTGGCACAACGTCAGCTTTATCTCTGTCACAGCGTCAGCTTTGTCTCTGTCACAACGTCAGTTTTATCTCTGTCACAGCGTCACCTTAATCTCTGGCACAACGTCAGCTTTATCTCTGTCACAGCGTCAGCTTTGTCTCTGTCACAACGTCAGTTTTATCTCTGTCACAGCGTCACCTTAATCTCTGGCACAACGTCAGCTTTATCTCTGTCACAGCGTCAGCTTTATCTCTGCCACAGCGTCAGCTTCAATTCTGTCACAGCGTCAGCTTTATTTCTGGCACAATATCAGTTTTATCTCTGGCACAACGCCAACTTTATCTCTGGCAATGGAATAAAGTAATATGCTGTGTCAACATTAAATTTTTCAATTGAATAGTGTCTAGTAATCTAAAAATTAACTCTTTGAAATATAATAAATATATCAACAGACGAAAAAAGAACAAACTTTTATTTGTAAAATCTTGAGTTTCATAGTATAAAGATAAAGCTTTAAATTATGACAGATCACAAAAGCAATTTTTGTCGACGAGGTCAGTCTGGCCCTTTTAATTCGGCGTGGAGTTGGAACTGGGCTCCTCAATTTCTTGGCAAGGTATCTACAAGGCTCTGCACAAGTTTTTAGTTTCTTGCTCGCCTCCGATTTGGCCTCGTTCGATTTGACCATGGTTTGTACCGACAATGAACATGTCAAACATAAATACCGTGGTTTATCAGGAGTAATCGTCACATAGAATTCTTCCTGAATTACATCATGCAGATTTTTATCAACACTTTCTTTGAGTTTAATTTTTGAGGATAGTCCTTTCTATAACGTCCTTTTCCCTAAACGCAGTTTACGCATTTGTTCGGAGATTCTAATTCACTCTCCAATTTGTTTTTGTCACTTCGCGCGCGCTCTCACATCGGAGCCTTTCTCTTCCTTTACACTGCATTATGAAAACGTCCGAGGAACCCCGAAAAAATATCCATAAATGGTCAAAAATACCATATTTGGATCAGTAATAATCGCGAGATTTCTCCGATAACTGTAATGGCGGATAACGGAGGCAATTTTCGAGTAATATAATTATGATGTGGCTATAAAAAGGTTGACAGGCATGACGGTATGTTAATTAGTTGTTATCTTTTTAAGAAATGTTAAATTATACCAAATATGATTGAAAAATTACAAGAAACCCGTCCATTGTAGCATTTTCGGGGTTCCTGGTTTTGCAACAGTACCGTCCATGGAAGGTAATCGTAGCTCTGACGACGACCATCTATCAGAAATCGTCCGTCCGTCGTCCAGAGCTACGTTATCGCAGCTATCGCCGTCAGCGTGATGAGTAACGGTCATATTTCTTCCATCGTACGAAATGACCTGTTCCGTTCAGGTGATGATAAACTCTGAGTATCGTTTGTTCTACTCAACATGTAGACAAATGAGCAATAACAACGGAAAGCACATAATCTTTCACTTTCAGACTTCATCCTCAGCCTCTGTCATATCGCTGTCATCAGCTGCGATGGTAAACTTCCGGTGTAAACGACTTTCGTTCTTATTTACGGGAGTTCAATATCACACTAAATACTTTTATTCAAATATAAAAGATGGTCGCACTGAATAGTTTTTATTTTTTGACGTTCTTAATTGTTGTTAATATTTATTGATGGCACTTTTTAAATCCAAGCGTGGTGTCGTTAGATTACCGTAAATCATTCTGAAATTTAGCGAACGTGCGCAGCTTCCTGCGCAGTGGCGCTTAATTCGAGTAGGATGGATCGACCTTAACGAGGTTTCGTCGAGCTGACGAAGTTAATTCGAGCTAACGAGATTTAGTCCAGCTAACGAGATATTTTAGAGCTAACAAGGGATCGACGAGATAATGTCGTTTTAATGACATGATGTCCATCATCTTCATTATGGGTTGGTTTAGTAATCTAACGCTAACATCTTTCACAACTATCAATATTGCAATGTTTAATTTATGACAAATAAAAATAGTATGATACTTAAATTAAAATGCACCTCTAAATGATTACCCCTCTCTGATAGAGCCTCTAATAACGAGTGTGTATTCAAATACATGAATCATTCGATCACGCTAATCGACTTGCACAGCATGTATACAACTTGAGAATTATTTGACAATGACTTGACAAGTTTGCTGTCCACTAAATAGTGATGTGTATATCAGTAGATACCTCTCGGGTGATTTAAAAATCGCACGGCATATCTAAATATGTAAGGTTTATGGTATATAAAAGCGTCCTTATCCGATTGGTTTTGTCTAGTGAAAACATTGATTCATTTAAACCGGATTTTATCTGTGTTTCTACAATATCATGTTTAGATAATATTCCAAATGAGAAAATCAAGTCCGCAACAAAGATATCGAATTTCAGCTCAATTTTCCAGTTATGTGTGTCTGTAAGTAGGCTTAGTTATATAGTCGGACTCCGTAACGGCTCCAAGTACAGTTAATTCAGTGATGCTATCATCGAGCGATTGAAATAATTGAACTGCTGTTGTTATACTTTAAATGTAACCGGACAAACTTATAAGACAGGCTTTCGACAGATGTACGTTGATGACAACATGGTAAAATTGATTATATCCATCCTAGTCCCGTAAGAAACTGTAATAATTCCTGTTGTGGTATACATACAATATGTATCTATATACTTGCACGTGCTCATTAGTTTGTTTGTAGTGTTGTTCCATTGTCACTAGCCTGTCACATTAAGGACATATTATCGCTAGAATTCGACCTACATCTTTTACATAGCAGATATCGTCGGTGAAGCTTAAGACGCTTACCCTCCGGTACACCTGGTCATATTATCATCTCAAATGTATTCAATTGTATCCGTGTTGTTTTCCATTTGTTCACATTTTGCTTAGTTTCATCGAATTTGAGTAGTTTATTTACACTTCGGTTTAAATGTACTCTCGTGTTTTTAAATTTTTTATACTGCTTCAGCATTTATCTCAATATCGATATCAAGTACAAATCATCCTTCCAGCAGCAATAGTTAAGGATAATTATCGTGTTGTGGTTTTTTTCTTTAGATATTGTTTGTATATTAAATACAGCTAAGTCATCAGTGTGTAAAGATTATGACGATATATCCACCAACGATAATGTCATCAAGAGGATTTGCTGACAAATGCATCTAAAATTAAACCAGTGAAAAGTGTAGCTTTTCATTTGGCAACCAAGACTAGGGAAAAGTGTGGTTTGCCATGAGGTAACCAAAACTAGGGAAAAGTGTAGTTTGTCGTGAGGCAACCAAAACTAGGGAAAAGTGTAGTTTGCCATGATGTAACCAAAACTAGGGAAGGTGTAGTTTGTCATGAGGCAACCAAAACTAGGAAAGATATCGTTTGTCATGAAGTAACCAAAACTGGGGAAGATGTAGTTTTTCATGAGTCAACCAAAACTAGGGAAAAGTGTAATGTGTCATGAAGTAACCAAAACTGGGGAAGATGTAGTTTTTCATGAGTCAACCAAAACTAGGGAAAAGTGTAGTTTGTCATGAGGTAACCAAAACTAGGGAAAAGTTAAGTTTATCATGAGGTAACCAAAACTAGGGAAGGTGTAGTTTGTCATGAAGTAACCAAAACTAGGGAAAAGTGTAGTTTGTCATGAAGTAACCAAAACTAGGGAAGGTGTAGTTTGGTTACCTCATGACAAGTGAAAAAAGTTTATCAATATTAACAGTTTTATTACTGCGATCAGTGTTATGGTCGTATGAGGTGTTGTTAAAAACACTGAGATCGGGGAACTTTTATTTTGGGTCACTTTATGGATAGAGCAGTGCTGTGCTTACAACTTATCATTGCTCCCTTTATACTTGGGACCTACTCTGTGTTTTCCGGTGTTTGTGGTTTTGTCATCAATAAACTAGACATTGAGGTATATGCTTTACGCATGGAGACGTGTTAACATTATAATTAATGTGTTATCGTTGATATGTAATAACTTCATGAAATAAACAGTGCTTTATCATTTCATTTTGTTTGTGTAATACAATCCACGCGTAAATTCTGAACCATGCACATGAATACCAATGATAATATTAAATCTAGTTATATGTTCTTAACTTTTAAGTTAGATACAGCTAATGGAGTATGACAGGGTTGCCCACTGACAGTCATATTCTAGTCTTTGTTGAAAGTACAACAAGCAACGACATGTAACAATTTCCTGCCGTTTAGTTTAAGCGAAATATTCTATTTGTAGTGTCTGCTTTGGTAATCAAATTAGTATCGCTGGTTTAATTTTGAAAATTACATGAAGCGTAATGAACTCCGTGTGATTGAAATGTGTTTAGACGGTATGAGTGGAGTTACATGAACAGTGCAACCACAGCTTCGCGAACCAACTACATCAATAATACCCCTTCAACGGTGTGACGGACTAAATTGAAGGTAAGAACCAGGCTGATCCTTTTCTATCGTTGAATTACTATTAAGGATTTAAAATGAAAAAAACCCACCAAATGTCTTCTAAACGAATGTAACATATTAATGCTTATTTTTTCAGATGGCGATATGTAATGGTGCACACTACAGTGTACAACTCGTGGTGTTCCTGACAGGTAAGTCTTATATAATGTAATATCTCTGGATATATGTAAAATAACCAAACTAGCGGTCAGTCATGGGAAATACTCGTCCACTTACATATTCGTAGAATCACACATTTTCATTCCAGATCGATCATTTGTTAACTTCTCATTGACATGATATTTGTAACCAAACTTTAATAACGTAAAATATAATGCTTAACAAAACTGAGTTCAATGCTAGTGCCCAGCGGCAGTGTGTTGTTTTCCAATTTAAACTCTTGTCCTTAATTGATCATATAACAATCACAGCAATCAAACAGACACATTTCCATTAGAAACGATAAATAATTACCCTTAAAAAGTGACAGCAACCTAGCCAAGTCCTTCAATTTTACACTCAGATACATCGACGATGTGCTGTCTTTTGACTAACAAGAAATCCAATGACCACATAGATCGTATATACCTTCCAGGGCTTGAAATCGAGGGCCGTCGCTTTCCTCGATATTTATACTCACAACATGACGAACGGCGTGGCTTAACACTAAACTGTACATTAAACTGGACGATTTTGAGTTTCCCATTGCGAACTTTTCCCTTTCTTGATAGTAACATCCCTGTTTCTCCTACCCTGGTTCTTCTGGTTTTGTTGTCCATACCGGAGTTCCCTATGTGAGGGTATGATATTATTTAGATTCCACTGAGATTAAGGGTCCCTATATAAATTTTCCCTTTGTTCATGTTTTGTCCTGAATTGCACGATTTCGAGCTTGAATTATGGTTTTGTTGACACTTCGATATTGTCTTGTTGTTTATTTCACAAAACGGAAACATTCGGTATGATTTTATTTCCATCTAAAGTGAAATTCCTAGCATGAAAACGTGTGTAAGCAGCAGAGTGGATGGATTTTGTGTTGTGATTCTATGATTAGAAACATGCATATCTGAAACATCAAATTTGGTATTTCGCGTTTGATATTATGGCTTTGACTTAATTTCCATTATTTTTATTGTTTCAATGGAGAATCAGCGGTTAAAGTTAATACTTATTATCATTTAAAATACATTGTATCAATCAAACAATATCACTTGACATAAAGTTTTAGTTTTTTCCTATAATGCATGCTTTAATAGAATTTGTAGACTATACAGTTTAATGAAATTTTTAAATATATTCATTTGTTAAGCTTTGTATCTAATAAAAACATTATTCGAATGATAACATCTTTTTAGTAACAATTTGTTTGATAAATGGCGCAAAATCATAACAGTATGTTGTATAGCATGGAAGTTTGTTAAAACAAAAACTATTGTAGATACTGTCGAATATTTTACAACATATATGCTCCTTAATGTCTGCATAAATTAAACAGAAAAAAATATTAAACAAGTAAACATACAACTCTATTATCAGGACTGTATTGTTTATAAAATTACATTGTTTTATTCACAGTGTGGTTCTTAGCATCAACGTTTTCAGTAGGAGGAGTGAATGCTTGTCCAGAAATTGATGCATTACCGATCTTTGATAAAAACGGAAGTGGTCGGCCGTGTGAGGGAGGATTTCTTGTCAAAATGATAACCGTGCTGTGTATGTGGTTCCTTTACAGGGTCTGGTATGACTAACACCACACTTCAATGGCGACCTCCTGTAACGGGCAACTCCAAATAATGGAAGGGACCAAGGAATTTATCAAGTGAACATTTTCCAGATAGGAAATTATAAAACAAATCTACATATTGTGTGAATATCATATCATCATATCTGTTTGTTTATCAATCAGACGTTTCATTCTGTTTTGCTAGACTTTCATCTCTAAACTACCTTGGTGAACATCAAAGTTTGAAATAGATATACGTTTTGACTTTGTAGTTTTTTTTTTTTTTATCAATTTAAATAACAAAGGCGTAGCTTTGTTTCCACATTTGTTCGTTTTTTGTGGTACTAGCCTACGCTATTGGTATACGTTAGATGTATGGGTACCGTTTATAACGAACAAACGAGGCACATTATTGTTTTATGGTATGTACAGGTTGGTGCCTCTCGATACTCCATATGTCATAGCACAATTGAAGGCATGCGACTAGCTATTTGATTGGTCTCAGCTAGGCTGATTTATACCTGTCCTTTGGAGATTACAGGGGCGCGACACCCGACTCCAAAGCCCGTATATTTTGTTGTTACGCGACCGAGAGATTCTTTTGACCCACATCAAAGGAATAAACTAGTCTTCTCGTCTCATCTACAATGTGGTACACATTGGGCCTTCGGTATTGCTATAACATATCCCAGGGGTGCAGAGTGCGAAAGTGAGCGTCACCCCTGGAGTATCGAGGATGGGGTTGCTGTAGAAACATGAAGTTTTGTCGCATGTATTTGTTGCTGTGGTAACGGTTTATGGTATATCATACTGTATTGCATACTGTATTACTGTAGTGATAACATCTGTTATTATTTTGTCTCGTATATTGTATGCAAGTTACTGTAGTGAAGGCCTATGCTATTCTATCGTACTATTTCGTTACTGTTGTAACGCAGCGAAGTATCTTACCAATATAAATATAGTACAACAACCAATCGACCGTGGAAGTTTGTATCGTGAAACAGAAGTGAAACTACATTACAGAAGATAAGCAAAAGTACCCGGGCGCTGTGTAACGTAATAACACCATGGCATAACATCATAAAAGTACCGGGCGCTGTGCAACGTAACAACACCATGGTATAACATCATAAACGAAGACTCGTAATAATACCATGGTATAATATCATAAAAGTACCCGGGCGCTGTGTAACGTAATAACACCATGGCATAACATCATAAAAGTACCGGGCGCTGTGCAACGTAATAACATAATGGCTTAACATCATAAACCAAGACTTGGTCATCTTCTACTGATCTTGTAGTACCCGGGCGCTGTGTAACGTAATAACACCATGGTATTTAAGCATTGAACTGTTTTTGTATGATATTTATGATCGATTTGAATGACACAGCCTTGCAAGCAAACAACATAATGCGCCCTAGCGCATTATGATTTGTTTGCTTGCAAAGCTGTGTCATTCAAATAGATCATAAATATCATACAAAAACAGTTCAATACTTATATTTACGTTTTCTCTGCCTCTTATGTTCTTTTTTAACTTATAATTCATAATTAAAATTAGAAATGACCGCCTTTTCGACAGTCCACATAATTTCGTTCAATAGTTTGAACAGCGTATTGTCGCGTGCTGATTGGCAAACAAAGTAGTACTTTGACATTTTAACAAACACTTCAATAATTTATTCCACAATTTAGTATCAATACAATTGCGTATGATATGGTTATAGGGTGATTCCAGTTTTTCAATAGAAATCTGAGCTCAAAGTTAGATTTGAAATTGTTTCGATTTTCCCCCCGGAACGAGTTTCGCGCATGGATAAATACAGTGAACACCGTGAATGGGACCTTGACCTCCACGAGGGAGTTATTTTTGGAAGTTAATTCGAACTTTTCTCTTTGCTCGTTTTGTGAAGAGTCCAGGCGTGAATGTATTTGTTGATTACATGGGAACCCGACAACAATCGGTAGATTATATAAAAGCATCGTTATTTGACATGTCGTCTGAAACTGAGGAACCGTGGATCCGAGACGCGTGAAACTGATACAGTTGCGTTTGAAGTGAGTGATCTAGCGACGGAGCACAGGTTCGTTACAAATGTCTGAAATGACGAATGTTTATGTGTGCTGTGACTCATCAGTAGGTCTGTAACATATGTGTCAGTAGGTCTATAGAATATGTGTATTTCAGACATTTATAACGAACCCCTGTTGATCAGTGCAGTGTAACAGACGATATTTCTGATAAATTGCATGAGCGTTAAAATTGTTTCCATTGCCGGCATTGGTGTTTTCAACCGATGTGCATTTTGTACGATATTGCAGACCTTGGTCTTGTTTTCGTTGTAATAAAAGTGTTTTTTATTTTNTAATTATGGCTCGTGCGGCATGGTAATTAAAGTCCCATCAACGACACAGCTCTCAAAGAGGCTATATAGTGACAATGCCATGCAAATGTAAATATAACATCTTAAACGAAGACTTGGTCATCTTCTACTGATCTTGTAGTACCCGGGCGCTGTGTAACGTAATAACACCATGGTATAACATCATAGTAGTACCCGGGCGCTGTGAAACGTAATAACACCATGGTATAACATCATAAAAGTACCCGGGCGCTGTGTAACGTAACAACACCATGGTATAGCATCATAAAAGTACCCGGGCGCTGTGTAACGTATTAACACCATGGTATAACATCATAAAAGTACCCGGGCGCTGTGTAACGTAATAACACCATGGTATAACATCATAAAAGTACCCGGGCGCTGTGTAACGTATTAACACCATGGTATAGCATCATAAAAGTACCCGGGCGCTGTGTAACGTATTAACACCATGGTATAACATCATAAAAGTACCCGGGCGCTGTGTAACGTAATAACACCATGGTATAACATCATAAAAGTACCCGGGCGCTGTGTAACGTAATAACACCATGGTATAACATCATAAAAGTACCCGGGCGCTGTGTAACGTAATAACACCATGGTATAACATCATAAAAGTACCCGGGCGCTGTGTAACGTAATAACACCATGGTATAACATCATAAAAGTACCCGGGCGCTGTGTAACGTAATACCACCATGGTATAACATCATAACCGAAGACTTGGTCATCTTCTACTGATCTTGTAGTTCAAGTCCTTACACAAGATACAGTGAAAATACAAAACACCTATTATAACTGTTTATTAGTTTTTATGCTTTGTAACACATGGAGAGCACGTCAAACACAAATATACACCGTTCATTTTTGCAGTAAAAAACAAACTGGATAAAATACAAGCTGTCTGAATGTTTGGAATATTTGCTGATATCATGCATATCTACTAAACATTGCCTTAACGATTATCATAAATACGCTGACAAAAAATAAAGCACTAACACAGGAAACTACATACCGTTTTGTCTTCTTTTAATTTTTACCCCATAAAAAAATGTAAACCTGTGCATTTAATAATATGTTGGTTTTTTGAAGTGTAGTTAGAATACCGTAGTAGATATGACGTGACATTTTTATAAAGTGATTTAAGATTCAATTCGCGTATCATTTGTATGTTTCATCTTTTATGTGTTGATTTAAATTCTTGTCCAATCATGCTACCAGCTTATCAAACAGATACAGAAACATGAAATTCATACAACATATTACTCGGTTCATTAATAGCAATTAAAATTTAAAATGTTTAATTCATGTACCTAACAGACACTTTAAACCAAATTTAAATACCGAGTTTTAAGGTTATGATGCATAAAAAATGTGTTTTTTAAAATTAAATAGATGTAATCATTTCTGAATTATTAAAGTACAGAGTGTTTATCCTGAGGTTAATATGCATTACCGTCATTATATATGTATCTCTCTTCCATAGCGACCTCACGCCAAGAACATGTAAATATGTCTTCCGAGGGGTTATGTTTAATTGGCCAATTTAACTACGACGCATTTAAAATTCACGCCAGATTTCAGGTTTTAAAAACGTGCCCAGGTAATAGTTAAAAGTAAATAATTGATCACTAAAATATTCACGTATACGGAAGAGCAGGAGTACATTGTTGTTACAGGTGAAGCTTTGTTTTGCTTATTTTCGTTTTGCTGTCACATTAATTTATTTTATCAAAATTTTGAGTCGGTGTCTCGCACATTTTGAATCCCTCAGTAAAATTATTGAGTAAGTATGAGCAAGTCGATGTCTCGTCCGAGCATTGACATGATAAATAGCCGATTTGAACAATTACGAGATTAATATCTCGGTAAAATTATCTCGGAAAATCCAATCACATTTTGATATAACATATAAATTATGTCGACATAGACCGAGAATATGTCGACATAGACCGAGAATATGTCGACATACTTCAGTATTATGTCGATATACGTAAGTCGGAAGTCGAAAGGCTACGGCAGAAATATGCCACCGTAAGTAAGCAACAAGAATCTTGTTAAAATCGATCTTGCTCTAATGCTGTTTCGTAGCCAGTGCCTCGTGTGGAATTGTACTGTTATGATAGATAACATGATTGTGCTGATAGCTATCCTTATTGTCATATAAAGATCCGTGTTTGGAAGTAGTGATCTTCGAAAAACTATAGAGATTTCACTTTAGAGATAGAAATTCTCCTTTAAAGATATAAAATAATAGAATCTTCCCCTACCTACTAGCCTACGTTATTAGTATACGTTAGATGTATGGGTACCGTTTATAACGAACAAACGAGGCACATTGTTTTATGGTATGTACAGGTTGGTGCCTCTCGATACTCCATATGTCATAGCACAATTGAAGGCATGCGACTAGCTATTTGATTGGTCTCAGCTAGGCTGATTTATACCTGTCCTTTGGAGATTACAGGGGAGCGACACCCGACTCCAAAGCCCGTATATTTTATTGTTACGCGACCGAGAGATTCTTTTGACCCACATCAAAGGAATAAACTAGTCTTCTCGTCTCATCTACAAGGTGGTACACATTGGGCCTTCGGTATTGCTATAACATATCCCAGGGGTGCAGAGTGCGAAAGTGAGCGTCACCCCTGGAGTATCGAGGATGGGGTTGCTGTAGAAACATGAAGTTTTGTCGCATGTATTTGTTGCTGTGGTAACGGTTTATGGTATATCATACTGTATTGCATACTGTATTACTGTAGTGATAACATCTGTTATTATTTTGTCTCGTATATTGTATCCAAGTTACTGTAGTGAAGGCCTATGCTATTCTATCGTACTATTTCGTTACTGTTGTAACGCAGCGAAGTA